TTAATATACACATATACATATACAAATAACATACAAGTAAAACTAGAAAATGTATCAATGTCAATATCTTGGTTACAAGACATTATGAAACAGTTTTGCAAAATGTAACCATTGGGGGAAATTAATGAGGTTGCCTAAGGGATATCTGTTTTATTCCTTATCCTCTGCACATGATTCTACAATTATTTTGACTTTAAAAAAAGAAAAAAATGAACTAAGTGCAATGTGATATCCTCGATTAGATCTTAGATTAGAGGTAGGCCATTAATAGAGAAACTAATGAAATATGAACAAAGTCTAGAATGTAGTTCATAGGCATATCCCAAAGCTGGTTCTTAATATTAAATATTACTAATGTAACATGCGAATACTGGGTGAAGGGTATAGTGGAGCTACATACTACTTTTGCAAATTTTCTATAGTAATCGCTATTCCTAATTATTTATGTTAAATTTTTTTTCAAAGAAAGAATTAAATAGGATTTAAGAGAAAGTAATGTTGAACATAAGCAATTTGGATGATAGGATTCTCTGAAGAAAAATAAGAGCAATGGAACAGGAAAAATGTAGAAAATCTTAATCAAATAACACTTACCTGAAATTTTAAAGAAACATTTTGAAAAAGCCATCATGTTCCTGAGAACATCAATTCAGATGACTAATAAAACAATATAGTAAAAATAACAAACTTTAAAAAAGTCCAAAAAAAAAAAAAATTAATTGGCCGGGTGTGGTGGGGCATGCCTGTAATCCCAGCACTTGGGAGGCTGAGGCAGGAGAATCCTTGCGATTTTGAGACCAGCCTGGGCTGCAAAGTGAGTTCAAGGCCAGCCTGAACTGCACAGTCAGACCCTGTCTCAAAGGGACAAAAAAAAAAAATTCTTTAGGATTTAGACCAAGAGTTTATATAACTAGTCAGATAAAGAAAGTAAGATTTGTACCAGACTTTTCAACAGCAATGTTTTTGCCAGAAGAGAAATGAATACAGATTGAAGATATTCAAGAAAAGGAAAAATGAGCCAATATTTTTATTTCTACCAAAAATGAATTTCAGATACAAAGACCAAAGACAAAATGTTATGAACAAGCAGGAAAATTCATGGGACATTTTCCCGTAAACCTCTTCTAAGGATTCTACTATGGAGAAAAATGAGTAAAAAGACACTATTAGAAGGACTGGTGGTAAACATTAATGAAATGCAGAGTTACTGATAGAACTAAGACAAAGACTAGGGGGAGACAACCTAGTACGTAATGATTATATACTCTGATAATATACAGGACAGCTATAAAAAAAATGGGGAAAATGTAAATAGAATATGTAAAAAAAAATCTTTTAAAACCTTTTAATAATCCAAAGTAGCATTGTGATTCCAAATTATTGTATGTAGAATATGAGATTAAAACAACTGAGTAATTAGTAATTCTAGCATATTTTCATTATGAGAAAGAAGATACTAATGTAGCACAGAAGAAATGAAAAACCCCAAAATATAAACTGATCTTCAATTTCAACTGGAAGTATCAATATGAACTTACAAGATATTCAATGTTATACTTTACATTTTCCTGACTTTGTCCACTAAAAAGGCTTACACTGACAAACTGAGAAGCCATGATTATCTCTAGCCTAGACTTGGACCTTAAAATACCTTTCTCATTTCTTAGAGAAATGGCTGATTCCAGTTCTAAAGAAAGGAATGTACAAAATAAGTCTGAAATAGCTCATCACACAGGTTAAAAAGAAAGATATGAAAGACTACTAGTCACATCAAAAGGACTCAAGCACCAAACTGAAGAGGTTCCCACTGGCTAAAAGGACAGTCTGAGTTTATAGAAGAATTTCAACAAATTAAAATCCACAGAATATATTAAAATCCATGAGCAAATAATAATAAACTAGTCACCATCTGAACCAATTATCTTGAAAACTAGATATATATAAGGATTTATCTTGCCTTTCCTATTTGATCTTTACCCTACAGGAAGCAAATACTAGAAAGCATGGATCTCCTTATAAAACTCATAACACTTCTTAGTATTCCAACTGATAAAAGAAAAAAACCTTTCCTAACATTTATAAGCCCTAATGAACTCAGGATCTAGACACCAAGCATCAACAGCTAATAAAAGCAAAAAATCAGCTATTATGAAGCTCCTGATAAAAGAACATACCACCTGTAGTCCTGCCTCAGTCTGATAAAGCCTCCCTGCCCGCTGCCTAACTAGGAAATACAGTAGTCAGAGGAACATGCGCAACTGTCCAAGGAATGAGTAACTCCCAGACTGTGGCAAACTGCACAGGTCAAAAGACCTACGCTCTTCAAAACACTATTGTAAGGAAAAGACTTAAGATATCAAGTTTTTACAAAGTCAGGATTCACTTTTGAGTAAAAATTGTAAAAGAAACCACAAGGAAGTGATTATTTTTGGGAAAAAAGAGAGGGCTCTGAGTAGGATGGGAATATGGAAGCGTTTCTAGGACTAGCCAAGCTGGTTTTTTGTTTTGTTTTGTTTTTATTTTTTGTCTTTTTGAAACAGGTTTTCACTGTGCAGTTCAGGCTAGGCTTTAACTCCCTTTGTAGCCTAGGCTGGCCTTGAACTTGTAGTGATCCTCCTGCCTCAGCCTCCCAAGTGCTAGGATTATAGGCATGCACCACCACATCCAGCCTGTATTTCCTCACCTGGTAGCTATGAAAAGAATGCTACCTGAGAGTAGCTCATGAGGGTAAGCATATTCAATAGTGTGGTTTTTTATACCTGTGTTTTTTCTTACAATAAAATTTTTAGGAAAATTAATGGAAGTTTTCATTAAGCAAATATATTTAGAGATATCCACTGGGAGTTTCTTTTATGGCTTTATTTTACTTTTTTATTGGCATAACATTTGTGCAATTTATGAGGCAATGTGATATCTCAATTCATGTAAACATCAGGTAATAACCAACTTGGAGTAATTAGCATGCATATTCACCAGGGGATTTTTATGTTTAAGTCTCAGCCTCATCACACACTGTGACCTACATATACCTAACTCACTGCCCACTTATCCACACTTTTAGTTCAGATTCCCCAACCAATCCCCGGCCCCGCCTCTACTGCAGCCCTGTTCTTTGGACTCACACTTTCTGTTTTAAGTAAATTGGCCACTACTGCTGTTACCACTATTTTAAAAACTAACCAGAACAGAACTGAAATTCACAACATTTTTCAACTATTTTTAAGGTGTACCCTGTCAGGAAAATGTAAAGATATCATGTGTTTATAAGCCGATGTACACACACTCACGCAACCAAGGTGGGATGTTGTAAATCCAACACTTGTATATCACCATTAGAAGATTTATGGTAAGTCTTATTTTACGTAATTTCCATTGTGAAAATATGATTCTAAATTTTTTCCATTTATGCAGAAATTTAGTTTTATATAAAATTAAAATCCTAGCTAGATACAGCACTCAGGAGACCAAGGTAGAAGGATCACCTTGAGTTCAGGACTGGCCTGGGCTAGCTACATAGTCAGTTTAAGGCCAGCCTGAACTATATAGTAAGACCTTGTCTCAAGAAAACCAAGATAAAGAATAAAAGCAAATGCTGAACGCTTATCAAACTGTAATTTCCTTCCTCTCTCCCCTACTATTACCACAAATGAGATTCTAATTTATCTTCCCTACCAGTATGTGTTTCTAGCAGTGTCCTGCTATAAATCATTATACAGGCAGGATATATACACATGAACACAAAACAGTAAAACTATTAATGGCAACAATTACTAAGAAATATTTAATTGCAAAGTGAAAACAACAGACAGTTCATATATAATGCTCTCTTAATCTTAACAGAATCTGCAAGCTAAGTATTATTATCACTCCCATTTTATAGATGGAGAAAATTGACATTCGGAGAAATTAAGGACATGTCAAACGTTCCTCAGTTAAATAAGCAATAGAAAAAGATTTAAAAGCTCTAAACGGAGAATGGATTACTTTTCTCAAATAACCATTCAAAATACGTGTATTTTAAGAGTGAAAATATATGTATTTAAATGAGAAAATCTGGGAAGTTACTAAGGATATAGCACTTAAAACAGCTTCTTTAGTAAAAGGACTCTTTATAGGAGTCTCTCATAGACTGATGGAACAATCTGAAAGATACACAAAAAGAGGTGACAAATTGGGAGCCAGGCAATGGAGCTTTCAGTCCTGGCTCGCCAAGAAGCAGTTTTATCACACTGGTTAAGTCACTTTATCCTAGGAATGTCAGTTTCCTCACCCTAAAATGAAGATGGACAAAGGCCATTCTATAGCCCACCAATATGACTCCATGATTCAAGAGTTAGTTCTGTAACTGGAAACATTAAGAAAATGTAAAGGAAGGTCATTTCATGTACAGCTGACTACATTTGTGGCTCAAGGGTTGAGAAGCTGAGGGCATGACAGCCACTAAGTAGCCACAATGGAGCTAAGTGAAGGAAGATGAGTCTCCCCCAGAAATGGGCAAATGCACATATAAAAATAAGTAAATGGGAAAATACTCATGTTCATAGTAATAAATCCATGCATGGAAAGTGTGACTGCTGGACAATACTCTTGTTGTTTTAGAAAGCACCAGAACACGAAGAGCAGCTAAGGAAAGAATTAGTATTTAACTGCAAAATGGGACAGGCCTGGACTACGTGAGCTTCATGCCGAGGCCAGGATTCTATAAAACATTCAGGCAAATAAAACAATCCCTCAAAGTCCATGCTGGCCACACCTTACACACACCCTGCCACAAGACCTCAACACTCGTATGTTGACGTGGCATGGCAAAATAGTGTTATTTGTTCAAAGCCTTCACTACTCGTCAACAATTACTTATTTTTAAAGTACCTGATTTGTAGCATTATACTAAGAACTATAAAAATAAAGGAATATAAGGCATATCCTTGGCCATAGAAGGAGTACAATGTGCGTGGGAAAATAAGCAAAATAACTGGAGAGGCAGTGCATGTGCCACTTACTCTGGAACTTAAATCACATTCCCACAGCAACAACTAAGAAGATGGTGAGATTTCCATTCCAGTGAGGTCACTCCTCAAAGTCATTTCATGTATACTTAGTTGGACCTCAGCAGTTTTCCTTAATTTCTTAATTTTCGAATCAGGTTGAATAACTAATAGGAAGATAGCACTAGATGGCTGGAAAAAAACACACTGAATATGAAGTAATTTTACAAGAAAATTAGAAGTGATTTTTCATAATACAAAATGTAACATGTTCATTAAATAAGTTTAGAAACAGTAGCTACAATATATACACAGCACAACCCCATCAAGTGTAGGTCCAGTTGGTTTACATATAACTTCATTATTTAATTCATTTTATTCATAAAACAACCCTAGGGCATCAGGTACTATCATTATCTCTAATTTAAAGGTAAGTAAACTAAGGCACAAGGAAATTAAGTAATTTGTCCAATCACACAACTTGACAAAGCTTTCCTTTTGTGCTTGTGTGTGCGTGTGTTCGTGCATGCATGTGCGGGCACGCAATACTAGGGATTGAACCCAGAGCCTCACACATGCTAGACAAATGCTCTTACCACTGAACCACACCCCCAGCCCTCAACAGAGCTCCTAGGCTGGTAGAGACACACGAAACATTTCATTTTCTGCATAACCTCATCACCCAATATTTCTTCACCTGGGCTGAAAACCGGGATGAGGGTCTGAGGACATTATATTAATAGTGCTACATGCAATTTTTTAAAACAGTACACAAACTAAAATGATAGGACTCAGTGTAGCACCACAGATATTCACTACAGCAGTGTCTGATGGGTAATAACTGAAAACAATCTAAATGTCCATCAACGAGAGACAGTTAAGGCTGGGGATTTAGCTCAGTGGCAAAAGCACCTGCCTGGCAAGCGCAAAGTCGTGAGTTCGGTTCCCAGTACCGGAAAAAAACCAAAAAAAAAAAAAAAAAAAAAAAAAAAACAAAAAAAAAACAAGGGACAGTTAACTACAGTTTCTATATTTCTACAGGCAATGCTGTGTAGCCATGTAGAAGAATGAGGTAGTTTTACCCTCATGTATATTGCAAATGTGTGATTCAGGCTGACCAGCCCTTATCCAAAATGCTTGGGACCAGAAGCGTTCCATATTTTGAATTTTTGGAGGGTTTTGGAATATTTGCATATACATAATAACGTATCTTAGGGATGAAGCAAGATTAAACACCAAATTTGTTTCATATATACTATGTACACATAGCCTGAAGATAATTTTACACAATGTTCAATAATTTTGTTCATGAAATAAAGTTACATGGTGTGGAATTTTTCACCTATGCCTTTACATCAGTACGCAAAAAGTTTCAGATTTTGGAGCACATCGGATTTCATATTTTCAGATTAGGAGTGCTTGCTTACCCTGTATATATTCTTATATGGCAAAAAAGAGATGCAGAATAGCATGCATACTATGGCTCACATGAAGGAAGGTATATATTATATAAGTGCTTCACCACGATAAGAAAACTCCTGGTGGTGGCACACACCCGTAATCCCAGCACTCAGGAGGCTGAAGCAGGAAGAAAATTCCCTTGCAGAGTTTTCAGCTACCTCTAAACGTGTAAGTACTTATCCATGATTTTAAATAACTCTGTCCTGTTCCTAAAATTGTAGTCTGGAGCTCTTTAAATAAGTCTGACAAAGTCCTTATTCATCAAGGGCCTCACCCTCCCTGCGAAGCACAATAAACACTCCATACAATCAAATCAAGCTCTTTTTCCTCCAGAACGCTCTTCAAGGTCCCTTTCCTCTAACACCCGCCCACCTCTGACTCCTGGGATTTTAGCGTCGATGAGATCAAAGGGTTCAGTCCTGTCTTTTCATCTTTCCAGCGATCCATTTGCATTAGCGGAATCTTTGACAGGCCTCCGTCTGCATTAACATCTCCAATGTTTCTTCGACCTCCGGCCTCAAGACCTTTGATTGTTTGGGTCCCGCCTCCCATCCGGGACACTAAGTTTGTTTAGGGCTAGAGCGCAAGGGCGGGACAGGTTCTCCCGTCCTCGGATGCGTACGAAGGGCAGCCTCAACAGGCCGCTCAGGAAACGAGGCCGTGCTGACAGGACTGACCAGGGCGCCTTTCTCCAAGAAGTACCAAGAGGGGGCATACCGAGTGTATGTGCCCCGAGGCCATGCAGGGAGGCCACAAAACTCTCCAGAGGGGGCAACAGGCGTGACGATGACTACAGCTAGGCCTGGTGAGCAGAGGGAAGCGGGTGAAGGGCCAACCCGGACTCAATCCGGGCAAGGCTGACAGGAAGGGGACTCGACAGGTTGCCTCGCAAGCGCCGGCCCAGGTGGCGGGGGTGACCGTTACAGCACTCGCCGAGGGGAGGAGTTCGGGAGTGTCCCCCACTCACCTGCAAGCCGCAGCCGCGGGAAGCACGAATTGCCCCTCTCCCAATCTGAGCCACGTCAGCTCAGGAACCCCATACACGACACCTACCACCGCCGCTCCCCTCCAGGGACTCAACCACTCGCTGTTGGGACGGAAGACGGGATTAGGATATCAACCAATCGGGGCCGTGAGTAGAGCGTTACCAGGGAGACCAGGCACGCCTTGTTTGTAACTAACCGTCCACAATGACAGAAACCAATCAACGCCGGAAAATCCTCTGCTTCCTCAAAGAAAAAGCCAATGGACTCTAAGGAAGGGTGAAGGGCGGGATCAAATGAGAGCAGTGTCCCGGAAGAAGATCTGGAGACGGACCGGAAGTGCCGGGAGGGCGGGCGTTCCAGGAAAGGTCAGGCGTTTCGCTTGTGAGGTGGATATTCCAGAGCATGCAGTTCCTCCGGGAAGTTGACTGGACTGGGCCAGTGTATGGCTTGGGCTTCTGCGGAAGCTTTGGATCGATGGCACCCGCTGCCTTTGGGATTATTGAATGATCTATGAAAAGGGAGCGGGAATGTAGATTTTGCTTTTAGAGTCACAAGTTTTAGAGCCAAAAAAGTTGATCATTTAGTATGATCTTGTCATTTGCCGACGGACTCCATTCTGTCCATTTAGTGACAGAACTCAAGACTCGAAGGTGGCGTCTACATGAAAGAGGATCAGCAATGACTCTTAAGGACGTGACTATGAGAGAAAATAATGAATAGGAAGAAAGTATGTCCTAGGAAGTGGCACTTCAGCTAGACCTGAAGCAGTGGTGAGATTTGAGGCTCAAGTTCTGGAATGAGTCAGTGAGGAGCTCCAGCAAGAGACTGAAATCATGCATGCTCACCTCAGGGCCCTAAGGAAAGGGGAAAATAACATCCAGCTACCAAGAATCATCTCAGGCACTTTCTTCGCAATAGAAATAATGTCAGTTTGAATTTATTACATTTTATTGTGTACCAACCATTCATTTAGTCCACTATATGGGCGGCTTTATCCAAATGATTGTAGAATCTTTTGAAGCTCAAAAGGCAGCTCAGTAAGCTTTCTTGGCTACACACATAAAATTGTAGTACTACACATGCACCATACCTCTTTATTGCTGTTCTTTCCCCTATGGTTTGTTTCTCTCTCTCTCTCTTTTTTTTGGTACTGGAAATCAAACTCAGGACCTTGCGCTTGCCAGGCAGGCGCTTGTGCTGCTAAGCTATATCCCCTGCCCTCTTTCCCCTATGTATTTTAATAGTTTCATTTTCGTTCTCCTTATTAGAGTATTCTAACAAAACAGGGATTTTGTGTCTTGATCTCAACTGATACTTCCAAGTCCCAGAACATTCTAGAATATTCATTATTTATTGAATCAAAAAGGTATAAGATCTATAAAAGAAACCAGAGACATAGGAAAGGGAAACCACTGGTAGGTAGAAGAGTTTAGGGTAGGACACTGTAACCAGAGCACAGTTAGAAGGTAATTAACGGGAACAAAAACAGGGTCATGAATCTTAGCGTGAAAGGGCCTAGATCTCAGGGCTAAAGGCAGGGGAACACACAGAGGAAGAATGGAACTGTAATGAAATAATCACAGTCTCTTGAGAATAAAACCTGAAATGCCATACATTCTATGCCTAGGTTCTGTATGTTATTTGTATTTTCCTTATCTTCCCTTTGTAGTCCAACTTTTACAGTTTCCTACGGTAGAACTCAGTAATTTTATTCTTGTGATGATCAAATGGTAGTCCATGGAATTATCATGCACGCCTTGGAATGCCAGCTACCTCCAGTCACAGTAGCATATCAGTATTTTTGTAACAAACTGAGCACCTAAAAGATAATAGACCACCCTCACTCCCACAACCCTTACTCTGATTAACTGCAATGCTGAAACTCGTATCAGACATCATATTTAGACATAATCATTTTGTTGTTTTCCCTGAAACACCAAGAGCTTTATAGATCATTCTGAAATGTTAATCTCACACTGCTACATACCATGTCAACTACTTTTATATAGATTATGCTCTTTATCCTCATTAACAATCCACCTATGATATATTACAAATAAATTGATGTTTAATGAGGCTGAATATCTTTTTGTTAATTTAAAATTTTAGTAGACTTTTGAAATACATGATTACACTGATGCATTTCTTCATGGAGGCCTTTGGGATCACCAGTAGACACTACATCAGAGGAGACTTTGGACATGGACTTTACAGCCATGGCTGAACCTGTTAGGATTTGGCAACTCTTAGAGATAGAGTAAATGCATTTTGTATAAAGGGGTGCACTTGAATCTGTTTGGGCCAGGGGCAGAATATTCTAGCTTATAATTAGATTTCCTCTCAAACCTCATGCACTCATAGGTGGAGCTTTGGGGAGTGACTGGATCATGGGGGTATGCAATACTGGATTGCAGGTGTATGATAACTGGATTATTCCATTGATTGGTTTAGCATAGTTCTAGGTGCTGATCATGGGAAGGCCCACCCTGATTGTGGGTGGCACCAACCAATAGCCTTGTACAGTGAATGGCATAAAAAGGGAAAGAAAAGCTTGCTAATTCCTGCCGCATGCCTGCCATACTGTGAACTGTTTGCCTCTGCCATGTCCCTCTGCCATACTGTCCTGCTTTGGAACTAGCTGACTATGGACCAAAACCTCTACAAACAATGAGCTAAAATAAATCTTTTCTCTTTAAACTTATGGGTGTCAGGTAATTTGTCCCAGCAATAGAAAAGTAACTAAGATAAAGAATTGAGGAGTATTGGTGTTAGGTTGTTGTAGGAGTTTTTGTAGAATTCACTCAAATCCATTGTGTCCTGGGATTTTCATATTCGGCAAGCTTTTAACCAGGTATGGTGGTGCATATCTATAATTGCAGCACTCAGGATGTGTTCACACACAGCACTCACCATGTGTTCAAGGCCACCCTGAACTACACAGTGAGTTCAATGCCAAGCTAATCTGCATAGTGAGACCCTGTTTCAAAATGAAAACAAAAAACATTATCCATAGTTAGTACTTTTTTATTACTGCTTCAATTTCATTGGTTGTTATTGGATTATTCATGGTTCTTACATCTTCTTGGTTCAGTTTTGGAAATTCGTATGTATCTAGGAATTTATCTATTTCTTCTGAATTCTCCAGTTTATTAGAGTATGGGTTTTCAAAATAGTTGCCAATAATCTTCTGGGTTTTGGTGTTATCTGTTGTGATTCATGTTTTTCATTTCCAAATACATTAATTTGATTCTCTCTTTATTGGTAAGACTGGCTAAGAGTTTGTTTATTCTTTCAAAGAATCAGCTCCTCAATTCATTGATTCTATTTATTTTTTTAGACCCCATTTCATTAATTTCTGATCTTTATAATTTCCTTCCTTCTATTAGCTTTGGATTTAGATTGTTTTGGTTTTTCTAGGACTAAGAGGTACATCATTAGGTTATTCATTTGGGCTCACTCATTCTGCTTTTCAGATGTGCACATTCACAGCTGTAATGCCTCTTAAAGCTGTCTTCGTTGTGTCCCGTAGGCTCTGGTATGCTATAATATCATTATTCTTTGTCTAGGGCCTGTCTAATTTCTTCCTTGATTTCTTCTATGACCCATTAGTTATTTAAGATTGTATTGTTTAATTTCCATGTGTTCACATAATTTCTGTGGTTTCTTTTGCCATTGATTTCTAATTCCATTGCACTATGATTTGATAATATGCATGGGATAATCTTGATTGTTTTTATTTACTTAAGCGTGCTTTATAGGCTAGTGTGGTCTATTTTGTACAAAGTTCCATGTGCTGCTGAAAACAATGTATATTCTATTGTTGGGTGGGGCACTTTATATATATATCTGCTAAGTCCATTGGTTCAAAACTTTGGCTTAACTATGACATGCCTTTGTTGATGTTTTGACTGGTTGGTCTGTTTCTAACAGTGGGGTATTGAGGTCCCTCACTATAATTGTTTTGAGCTCTGCTCTTTGCCATCACCTTTGGTCATTCATCTCCACTTATTCAGGCTTTCATCACACTCTTCAGCCTTTCAACACAGACCCTTGGCTTTGCAATGCAAGCTCACATCAGACTCTGAAGTGAACTCCAAGCTTTCAACTTTCAGCTGGATCCTCTGACTCATCTAGTATGTAGTAAACCATTTTGCAGCCTTCGTTTTTATATATCATATATATAAAGATTTTGTATTAAATTTGCTACTCTAGTGAACCCTCACTGATACAATGAGCAACAATATTGAGTCAAACTGGATACTGACACACCATAAAAACCATTAGAAGTTACTACTGTACCCCATTAACCATAGAAAAGAGATCTATAATTACAGACACAAAGACAAAACAAATACTGGCATACTGTATATATCTACTGATTGCAAAAGCTGTAGCAACATTAACAATAGAAAAGAATTCAGCCTTAATAGCAAAGTGTTAACTAAATATTGAAAGATTAATAGACCTTAATGGTTATACTAGTAAAGGTGGAGGTGGTAGGAAATGTGAGAATGAAAGTAAAACTTCAAAAATAGAACAAAGGAAGATGAAAGGGATGAGAGAAAATGGAGTTAAAAACAATAATAGATAAAAGTAACAGAAAAGAGCCAACAGGAAGAAAAAAGAGAAAAATGATTAAAAAAAAAAAAAAGAGAAAGAAAACAACAGAAATCTCCAAAACCAATGAAGAAAAAAGGAATGAGAAAAAAGAAATGTCAAAAAAATTTCTTTCTAGCATCTGCAGTATTGGAATCCACCAGATATGTGGAAGAGAAAAGACCCATTTTCCTTCCACACTCACATTTTTGTGTGTGATTGCTTAAGTTTACTCTGCTTTTCATGCTGGGCATTGTCAGTGATTTCCACTCTAAGGCGATAGGTTACCCCAGTAGGACACCCTTTCTATGCTCCTCTGTGCACACCAAGTCATGGTTTTCTCCATACAGCTTTATGGCCTGTGGGTTTCTGAGGTGCTGCCTCCCAATCTAGAGGCCCCTTTTCATACATCCAAGGCTGTAGAAACCCTCCAAGCATATTGTTGCTCACATTGGTAGATGGGGAAAGAAAACAGACCACTGACTTCTCTGCTCTATGTAGGCAGCAGGGCAGGGGTTCAAGCAATTTGCTGAATTTAATACCTGCAATTTCAGATCTGGTCCCCTCTGAAAAAATATATAAACCATCCCCAACCATCTTGGCAACTCAGCACAGAAGACAGGGCCTCATATCCTTCCCTGCCTCAGGTTAAACTTCTCAGGAGGTCCATTTTACCTTGCTCCCTTTGCACAGATGTCTCTTGTGGCCATCTCCCACCCAGTCACTGTGGTAGAGTGACACTGAAAACTCTGAAGTATAACTGTTCTATAGTTGTTCTGTGGCTCAGTCTTAAACAATTAACCCCTTCCCAATATAGCTCCTGATTAAACCCTCTCAAAAATGGTAGGCATTGTACTGAATTTCTTCTCCAACTCTAGCCTGCCATGCAAAAGCAGCCACTTTGAGTAAAACCACATGCTGTTGTTGCATTTTACAGCAGCCATGGTCTTTTCATAGGGTTAGGGCTGCCAGCTCAGTCCCATTTTTCCTGGGAGCTGCTGACCCTCTCTGATGTGTCAGTGGAAACAGGTCCTCCTCAGGAGCTGGGTTAAGCTTTCCAGATTGCATCATTCTTTCCTCTGTGTTGTGCTGTTTCTCCAACTTTTCTCTGGTTTCTAGTTACTTGTGGGTTTTTTTGTTTGTTTGGTTTTTTGGGGTTTTTTTTGGCTCCCACCCAATTCCCAGAGATCTACTTCTTTTTTCTTCACAAAACTGTTTCCCAGGTAATCTTGATTCTGTATCCCAGAAAGGCTATATTTTGCTGCTGGTCTCTGTGCCATCATTTTTAATTTCCTAAAGTATAAAGAAGCTGAATTTCTTGTCCAAGGCTGTGCATGTTATAAGCAATGCAGCCAGGATTCAAGTTCAGACATTATAATACATAACACTATTACCAGGATCCTGGGGTGCTGTGAACTCCCTTTAGAGCTTCTTACCTGACTCTTTTTGTCCTGAACAAAGAATTGGACAGGAAATGTGCAAAAGATAGGCTCTCAGTTGCTAGAGGTAGGAAAAGAGTACTCTTCAGGGTGACAGCAAACCACTGT